CTACATTCATTGATATATTATATATAATTAGTGGACAGAGATTCTGGGTTGGTGAGGTGTAGCCAACGCGCAAGTATAAACCTGCACTCTTTCTCATGGCCAGAGGGGGACAGCTCAATTGGCTGCAAAAAAAGTCAGATAGTATTGAGTCTTGAGGGGATTTACCCTACTTCTCACTTGATTTACTATCTCAGTAAACAGTTTCCTAATGACTTTATGGTCTCAATCACTAGTTTCTACTCTTGTTCATGTAGTGCATTATGGTGTAATTTAGAGTAAATTATACAAGAAAGCAGGGTATGTCTTAGCGCATGGCTATCTTGTGATTGATAAGTCATTCTGAGTGAGTCCGTTCAGCGCAATGCACAAAACTCAGATCAATCTGTCAAACTAGGCAGTGCTGATCAAGTATGAATCAAACTTCTATTACTGTGTTGCCTATTTCTCACCTCAAATCCTTTCAGAAACATATTTTAGTGTATGTTTATCTGCAGTAGGAGAAAGTTTGTGACCAGCAAAGGAACAGAATCACTTGTTGACTGATGTGGAGAAATGCACTTCTTTTATACACATCCAGGCTCGTGCTGACGTGCAAATTAACAATGAATGGAAAGCATGGGAATTATCCTGGTGACATACACAGCGGTACCCGGGATAGGCTAACACATTCCGGAGCGAAACTCAAGCGAAAATGGAGAGGGATGGAGCGTGAGATAAGGAGTCGTTCCAACTTTATAGTATAGTGATAACAATGTCTCACCTTGATCACCAGAAAAGGTAACTGACGAATATATATCTCATCATATTTTCTATGAACAAAATTAATATTTACGTATGCTTGTGTAATTTCTGGAGATCCGTCCTGTGTTGTTAGTGTCATTGATTCTAATCAAAAACAATGTGACAGTCACAAAAAGTGGATTAATCATGATTAAAAGCTCTTAAAACCAATTTTCTCTTTGCTGTCTAGATAGAAGTATAGTGCTCAAGAGGTCCTAGAAAACAATGAAGTCTCTGTTCTTGTACTCCTACATCCATGTGCCAATACTCATGAACTATTCTGTAATTAGGTGTGGGAGAGCATCAGTGGGCGTGAGTGCTATTCACATGTCAACTCAAAAAGGTGAGCCAGGAAGTAGAAACGTTTTTTTTTTTTTTTTTAGAGAGGCTTAGAGCTGGCTAAGTCAATGAGGTGATTCTTTTCTGCTGTGTTAATAACATATATTTAATATAAACAAACTAATTTACATTCAATGACGCTGAACTGATTAGAGGTAAAGAAAAAGGAACACAAGACTAGAATTACCACCCCACAGTTATATGACTTATTTTTTTCCTTCTGAACAACTGAGTTTATTTTATACTTTATATTGCTGTTAACTATAGTCTGATCAAACGTATAACATGGGCGATGATCTAAATTCTGACAAGTCAGACCTAATTGACCTGACTGACAAGTGTCTATTGGTTTCTTGCCATGAACAGTATAAACAGACATCTAGAAAGAGAAAGTGTGAGTCTGAGTCTACCTATGTAAAGGGTAGCAGGCAATCCTTGCTTACGAAAAGTGCTAGATAATATCATGCAGCATGGGATGCAATGCTATTCTCTATTGTTGTACTTTGAGTATTGTGAGTGGATAAAATCTGAAATTTCTCTGCATCCATGTGATTTAACCCAATTTTTATATTAAACCTAATTGACTGGAGTAGACATTTCTAATTATGACCTTGTATGAAAAAAGTTACCATTGGTGTAGACCATAGCCTCTGGTTCAAATGCACAAACAGAAATACATCAGGGATAGTATACAAGGCAAGAGTCTATAAGATGATGCAAGACCACAGTCATCCTCTACCAGTAGTCAACAGCATGACAGATCTATTTTACATGAGAAAGGCATTGTGTAGAGGATACAAAGGTATTGCAAACTTATTGTCAGGGTTCATATGCTTTTTAACCAACAAACATCCATGACTTTTTGGCAAATTTCCATTGCCACACATTGAAATTAGCCAAAACAAGTATACTGTATACCTTTAAAACAAGTGAAATGGTTATTCAAAAAATAAAGATTTGTTAAATTAACACTGAGACATCAGCAAGACAGAACACAAATGTGTCAAACTGATAACTCTATTGTGTACCCTTAAAGGTCCAGTGTGTAACATTTAGGAGGCTATTAGCAGAAATTTAATATAAACTTTATTTGTGTAGCACATTTCATACAGTTGAGTGCAATACAAAGTGCTTCACATGGTAAATAATCAGATGGAGTCCACCAAGTTGAACCAGCATGTTTTTACAGTATCCCAGAACGGACAAACCAAACACTGGCTGTAAATAGGGCCTTTCAAGTTTCGTATCCACTGCAGTTTTCTCCTACACACTACACAGTCTGTTCCCATTCCCAGGTCATCAAATACAGAGGTGAGGGATGTGTAGTTAGATACAATCTGCAACTTTACCATTAGATGCCACTAAATCCTACACGCTGGTCCTTTAAAATATAAAGTGGGAGGTAATATGTTTGGAAAATAAGTAATAAATAAATAAGTAAATAAATCTTGTATCCAGTAACACTGACATATATCAACTAAAACTAACTGTTTTTAAATACAGACTTTGACTGCCTCTCTGAAATGGTTTTGGAAGACCTGAGTTGGTTCAGGGTGGCTTCTGCAGTGGCAGTGATTTCTCTTGCAATGCTGTTAAATATCCCCACTTTCACAGTGAAGAGAGGATCAGCACAGCAGATCTTCATTTACTCAAGTTATTTTACCTTTTCCTACTGTCTCAAAATAGCGTTTGACATTTGGCCAGAGCAGCAATCCTCTTTTTGACACACTGACATTCTCAATCCACTGATGATTGCAGAACTGAGGCATATGTGAGCTGAATCCAGTTGCTGTAACAAACTCCTCATGATGGGCAGGGCAATCACAGAACAGCCAGTACATACCGTACAGTCCGTGTTCAACTACGACTTCAGCTTAGGTTTTTGACTGCCTTTAAAGTGGTTCCAGCAGAGTATATAATACTGTGAAACAAACTTGCTAATCCCCAGCCTCAGACAGAGAGAGCCTAAAGCAACCATCTAAAATCTGAGAGAGGGAGACAACCAAGACAAGACCACCGGGGATCTGGCTGTCAATGTGGCTTAGATACAGGGTTGGAAATTAGCACCCAACACCTCCCAAATGTGGGTTTGTAATGGCGGGTGAATTTGCTTAACCTACCAGCCAGATTGGTGGGTAAATAAAAGTAGCATAACAGAGCCACTTGTGACATTCCACAACACAGATTGAATCGTGAACCTGCTTGTAGCACTCGGACACTTTAATAAGGAGATCAAGAAAAACAATGTGCCATTACATCGCAGGAGGTTAAGTGTCACACTTTTTGTAATCATGAGGCCTAATATTATTCTGTAATTCTGTGGAAGTGTACGAACTAATGTTACACTGCAGGCTGGCACCTCTGTTAATATTGACAGACAGATAGACCCATGTTATATGCGCTCGTCTCCTCTATGACACGTCTGTATCGTAACTGCACTGAATTATTATAACTATGATGAACTGGTTGTGGGTCACATCTCCCTCCTCATCTCCTTGCAGTTCTCATGTTTTAGGTATGTGTTGTTGAGTTATTGTTGAATTGACTTGTTGCTATATAGTTGGTTTGCTGCCTGCTGTATTTGTAAAACGTTCTCAAATTGTTGTTAACAACTATTAGACATATGTTATCTTGTCCATTCTAATTAATGTCTTTAAGCACATTTAGTATGATGTCATTACATGGACAAGCTTTATTCAGAACCCTTAACTGTTACTTTGATTAAGCATTTGTTACACAAAACTAGCCATCCTACCACAAACAATATTATGCTCAGGATGTGCACCAGTGCATATCCTCTATCCTCCTCAATCTATGATTGTGCCCTGACAGCATGGCCTAACATCAACGTATGCATACAAGCTCAAAGCAAGTCACAATGTGGACAGTGATTACTAAAAGATTATTAACAAAGAGGCAGTGTGTATTTTTGGGATTAAATGTGAAAATCATTTAATTGTCATTTATAATTAAGTATTTCTCATATAAAAAAATAATGACAGGGATCAATACTGCATGCAAAACCCAAACATATGACACATACAGTATTTTTAATAGAAAAGGCTAGACTACTGGATTTAATTTGATTGCATAGAAGTTGATGATAATGTGCCCACCTTTATTTTGCACTATTTTTACTATTTATATCTACTATCCTGTACAGAATGGTGGAGAAATTTTATGGGCATCCAATGTTTTGGAAGGTCTATTCATTCTTGTCACAGACAAATAAAGTATTCGAACAGCTGGAGCACTTAACATTACACTCCTAGTACAATGATCAGCGCAAACAGTGAGAAACTGTGTTGACAACAAATCTGTTTTATTATAAAAAGTTATCCGCACAAGACTGAGGCAGTCTAAAACTCCAAATGGGCATTGCAGCAAGAAACAGCCCATCAACAATGTTAAAAGTTGCTGCCTATAGTGGGCTGAAGCAAGAGATTATGCATTTTAGAACTCTACACATTACACAGTTTAAAGTTAGAGTTCACTCTGATTCAGCATAAAAGCGACGGAATTTTGTTTCTGATACAGCATTTTCAATTTGCTACAACTCTGATTTACACCTCTGCCCGGAATAATCTTCATAGCTGCAACCACTGAGGTTTACAGGATGTGAGTGAGCTGCAGCTCTGTTCACTTTGCTACTCTTAAATGACCTGTTTGAATCCTTTCCATTACATTAAAGCTATATGAAAATGTATTTTCATGAAGTAATACAACTTTTAAAGGGGAAAAGTAAAATATAAACAAAGATTGAAATTGATGATTGCATCAAAATGTCTTTATATTAACAAAATAAAAACAAAATAGACTAGTGAGGGCACTTAAACTAAAGAGAACAAGTGCATCTCTATTGTCATAATCGTGTACTGTACCTGACAGGGTTGCTGGTAAGGGACACTCGCAATGAGTCTAGACAGGCAAACAGACGTTCGTCCATCACCCCCGACTTCAGCTCTCCCAGGAATTCCTGGGGGGATATCTGATGGCTGCTTCTCAAGCTACCCTGGAAGAAAGAGAGAAAGAAGAAATATTTTTAGTGTAGCCATGGCAAAAGTGATTAAAACAACATGAGGCAAACAAGTCTGAAAATTCAGTACATGGACAAAAAGTGTCCCCATGTCAACAATTTAACAGTCAATCACAAAAGTGCCCAGGGATTCCTTCCCAGTACCGTGCACTTATATCTTTAGAAACCAGAAAATCTGTTCAAGTTATTTCATGATAATTTCTGTCAGATCATTATAAGTGCAGTGTATATATTCAGTTTTTCTCCATATTTATATATATATATATATATATATATATATATATATATATATATATATATATATATATTTCTCTTCATTGAAAATGCAGTTCTAATGTTGTAAATAAAAGGCACTCAAAAGAGCAAATACCTTTGCCAGAACTATGCAGTGGTTATATTACATTGCTTTGTCTTGAACATCCCTGTTTTCTCTTAATATCCATAAAGAAATGTCCACAGCATGGTAATGCTTCTATAAATAAAACCAGCACAGGTGCTATTTTGTCAAATTTGAGACATTTCTTTGGGCTGTGATAATTTGTGTTGGGGATTTGTCATTGACAGATTAATTAATAAATAAATACTATATATTAAATAACATTAACAATAAGTTGTTATATGAAACCCAACAATAACATACTGCTAATCAGTCAATACTAGGTCAAGTATACTGCAATAGTGAAAGCATATCAATAAACCATGACAGAATCACTGGGTGTCAACTATAGATTAGTTGGGTGTAAATCTGCCTCTGGGTGGATTTGTAAGAGTGATGTAAGTGCCAATTCTACAGTAAATATAATCTGTCCGTTAGTGTGAGGGCAGTACATTGGTGGTAACGACTGAAAAGCATCTGATCAATACCCAGACTGTGAGCCATCATTATTTCCCTGACAGTGTGCAAATTACACAATAGGTAAAAACTTTAACTACATGTACATGTATCTCACTGCATAGTTTAAAAATTGTAGTGTCATCCATTCTTTTATTTTCACCATTTTGTCCATACCTGTATCTGTTAAATATTTTCTTAATTAACATGGAAAAGTTAAAAACTGTTTTTAAGTTAAAATTCCCAGTACGATAACACCCTCAGCAATGATACTTTAAATTAGGCTAACATTTGAAGTAAGAATGACAACATGTTTTTTTGACCATCATTTTTCCAGGCTTTTGGATCAAAGCCAGCAGCCTAATATCCTTCAGCAAGCCCAGGGTTATGGATAAACAAACCCACATGCTTATTCCTCAGTTCTCTTTAATATCACAGTGAGTCAAGTCTCTTAATTAGTTTTCAAACCTCACACCAAAGTGACACATTTCCCAAATAGCACATTTCCAAAGGGGCACCAAATCTAAACTCTTTTCATGTTGGTTCAAAATGTAGTCATCAACACAGAAATCACAGTAATTAACTGAGACAGCCATCATCTCTCACACTGCTAATGTTCTATAATCACATGCAAAAACAAACCATGCAATATGTCACATACAGTGTTATTTTATATGTTTATTTCTACTTACATGACTAAAAAGGTCACCCTGTCCCCAAACCCCATGTACCCCAAAGAGAGGGCCTTAATAAACTTTCTAATTAAAATGTAGCTGAACATAGACTTGAAAATAACAGCCACTGTATCAGCCCTGTCTAATATCAATCTATGTGCATCTCGCCAAACTAGTAAATGTTACTGGATATACCTTTTTTGTAGTCTGGGAAGACAGTAGCAATTTAGCTAAAGCTAAAGCTGCTCCGTGTTTTTCAGTGGGAGAGTGGTGGAGAGAGAAAGCCACACTTATTTGGTTTACCAAGACAGCTGCACTAAAGCCAAAACGTCACACATCATTGGGTATGTTTTTGATTCATCAAAGGCCTCAGAAATCAGTCTGCATCGCTACCAGCAGGAATAAATAATCCCTAACCCCTGCAGGCTGCCAAAACAATGGAACTATGCCCAGTCTTTCCCTCCCCTGAAACCTCAAGCCCCAATCTATAATATTGTCCTCAATATATAATAAATATGAAATTAGTTGTCAAAATCTCCCATTTAAAAAAACACTTCTATCCTTCAGTCATCAAAGAATGTGTGTTATTATGATCATAAGCACTGTAGCCTTAGAAAGGGAAACTGATCACCTGTGTAGCCAGAGTCAAATCTATGCATGTTGAATGAGCAAAGAATTTCATTATGGGTTCAGGTCCAAGTCTCCTGTGATAGTTACTATTGAATAGCTTGAACCACTGGAAAAAGTTATTCTATTTGGTACTGTATGTGCTCCACCTCTAATGGACTTCACCATAGGTTTACCCCCATTAGACTCTGTCTCAGCACCACAAGACATACAGTATCAATGCAGTCACCTCCTAATCAGGTTGTAGTGCAATGAATCTAGCACTCTTCAGTGAGAACAACAACAGCCTCCAGTGTTGTTATCAACATGGCTAAAATGATTGCAACCCTTTCTCAGCCTGGGTCGACTCCTGCCTAATGTCTCTTGCTCTGTCGAGAGTAACTGGAACAACAGTGGCAATTTTGCCAATTCGACCCACTCCCTGGCAGCACACGAGCCCATCAAGGGTACAGTAAGTGTCTGTCTCTCTTCCTTTTCCTTTTCTGGCCTAGTGGTCAAACGCCTCTCCCATCCTGTAGAGACATGATGATGACCACCAGCCTGTTGTTTCTCAGGATCTCTAAGGCCTTCAGCAGTCGTGGGGCCCATGAGTGCTGTTCATGGCAGCAATAGGCACGTCTGGCTGGGCCTTTCTCGCTAAAGGCATTGGTGACAGCCTGTTTGCCCACTGCTGGCATCAGAGTAGTTGTGGCCCCACCTACAACCCCAGCCCCATCCACATCATTTATACAGAATCAGCCCAGAGACTGTTTCTGTGACCCTTCTGCCTCTCTTTATTTCCAATTGAGGACATTTTTCAACTTGATATGAATTCCATGCTATTTATAACGACATTTGTATAATAGATAATATTGATCGAAATATACACACAATGTATATAAGTCAGAAATCAGAATTATATACTGTGCAATAATCAAACTGATATGCAATTCAGTGGATTGTGCTCCACTGTTATGCACTGCATAAAATGACAGCAACAGCGGTGTGTTTGACAACAGTGAGATATGGTCAAATTTAACTCCAAACGAGAATGAATCTTCGCACATCGCTGTGCTCTCGTCCACCCACAACCGTGTGGGAGAAATCCCATCTATTTATTTGCCCACAGTGATTTCAACTTTCTCAAGTAAGTGTGCCTACAACAATTATGGTATTGGAGCAGCTCCCCCCCATCACTTCTACATCTCAGCCACCCTTTCCTTAGGAGCCCTCCTGTCTTCACAACGGGACAGGGAAGTGGCGCATTGCTGCAATGCCTCAATCCCTGTGTCTCACTGCGCACTCACTCTCCGAGCACTTTTTCTGCACAGCCAAAATTCTGATCCCACCTCCCCTCCCTTCCCTTCCCTTCCCTTCCCCTCCCCTCAGCTAGATCGGACACAGGGGAGAGGATACAGAGATAGAGACCAACTGAGAATACACTCAATCTGCAACAGGCGACACAGGTTTTGTCTCCCTGCCATGGCAAAGCTGGCGTTACTTGTTACTAAGATAATATTATTAATATTATTATATTATAAATATTACTAATGCATGAAAATTGAGTACCATGAAAAATGTAATTGTGAAAACACATTAAACCTCATTCAAAATGGCAAAGTATGCTGAAAGATGACAAGTTTGAAGATATGTAATAGGTTCTTATAATCTATATTGGAACAGTACGTCTCACGTTTTCTAATACTAGCTGATTAAGGGTCTTTGAAGCCTGCTAGCTGTTCATCCTGAGAAACTGAGGTGAACTAAGCTTCAGTGTAGCTGGTTTACATTAACTTTTGTGCAAAAAAGGAACTTTGGAAGATCGACTTAATTTGACTTGATTAAAACTGCTGAAGCCTAAGAACACTGAATATTGTTTTTAATGACCTATAAATTTGCCTCTCCCTTAGTCTTAGTTATTTTTTGAAAATTCTTTATGGGTGTTTTAAAAAGCAACACTAAGTAAAACACCAGTTCCACAGCAGGAGCACTGCAGACAAATCAGCACTGGGTTCTCCAAGAAGTAGAATGGTAATTTCAAGACAACCACTGCTACACAACACAAAAAGGTAAAGGTTAAACGTTAGCAATTATTTTGTGTAACAAAATACATGACCATTGTTTATCTACAAGGCTCTCTACCAAAATACCGAAATTGACAATGTCAGCGAGGGACAGACATCAAAATAATTGAGAAATATGGTGATGTACACTACAAAGACATATCATATCATAATTATGAGAATAGTTCCATCTAATATGAAGTTATAGTGTAATAAAAGTAATGTGCTAATTTAATTCAATTAAATTTGAGTATCATTCTCCCATCACATCACTACTCATATGAAATGTTACAAAAATATCAACCATGACGTTAAAATGCATGAGCCCACAGTGGACACTGGGCCTAACCTACACAAAAACATTCATATTTTGCCACAAAAGTATTGCATATTTAACAAACAGTGTGCAGGCTTCTTGGGCTTTTCCCTCTTCAGTCTTGAAGGGCTTCTATTAAGTTCTACAAGCCACCAGATGTCACTGTGCTTCCTGCGATTGAAGCCCTAAAGCCTTCAATCTTTTTTTCAGCACAAATAAAAAGAAAGCCCCAAAAGTCTATAAGGCTTCATCCGCCCATCACTACAGCAAGGCATAATCCTGTCTGTATTGCTTAAGGACATGGTATTGGTCTGAGAAGGCAAATTATTACATGAAAGCCTAACCAGCCTCATAAAATAATTGTCATAATTTGACCATGCCATGGTCTTGAGTCAGGGATTTAGGAAATGAAAGCAGAATTGAGTATCTTATATCAACTGTCATAACATATTAACTTAGTAATTACTAACAGAGAGAGACACTGTATATCAGCATTTCCTCAAGCTCCCTCTCTAAACATGCAATTTACCACGTCTTATGTAAATGTAGCAACTGATAAAACTAGCGTTTTGAAGAATTTTAATTTGTTTGACCAGTGGCCACATTATTTTACCATGCAGGTACACAAATGCAGGCATATAAACTAACTGGTCCCCATGGTAACTGAGATGAACAGCCTTAGGCAAGATTGGAGGGATGTTATAGCAAATATAATAAATGCAGCACTTCTTTGCAAGTCTCTGTGCCAACTTGTTAACCAGGAAACCTTTAAAAAGCAAACAAGTAAAAATCGGAGCTGTCTGCTATGCAATGTGAGGTAACTCAAGAATTGGGTCATATTTGTTACAACAGTTAATTCAAGTTCTGTGCCCTCAGAAAGAGGTTCTTAAACTTCTGCTAAAAGGAAATCAACAAAAACACCTCAGGTAGGCTGTGTTTTCATTATTATTCAAACTAAGTGTCACAGACTGAACCCATATTAACTATGAACACACTCTAGGGTATATTTAATGGAGTGTCACCTGCAAATTGTGGTCTTTCAATAGGATTATATTCTTAAGGGTAAGAGAAATCAATGTAAAGCATGGTCTTTTTTGGTCTGGGAGAGAGAGAATGATCTATAGTGTCCATTTCTTTGGAGATTTAATCGTTTTCCCCTGTACACTGACAGTTTTATCACCCTCTATCAAGATCTGTCTGTCTGCTTTAAGAGGGAGTAAAGGATAAGCTTAGGGCTTATTGCTGAAAGGAGGACCAATCAACCATGATAGCAAACTCACATGCATAACATCTAATCAATTATCTTCTAGCACTCAAAAATGTTATTCAGAATGAATATCAAACCTCATCCATTTATGATGTGATGCCCGATTACTCAAAAGCTCAACAACTTGTGTTTTATAGCACTACCTCTCAAAAGCAACAGAAGCTGAAAATCTTTTTTGATCACCTTTAGGAACCAAACCAGAGCGAGCTAGGACGAGAGAGAGAGAGAGAGAGAGAGAGAGAGAGAGAGAGAGAGAGAGAGAGAGAGAGAGAGAGAGAGAGAGAGAGAGAGAGAGAGAGAGAGAGAAGCTCAGCAGGCATGCTATTGTGTATGCATTTTTACAAAACTGTCCCTGTGTGGGTGTAACTACATCTCCTAGAGATAGAGATAGCAAGACAAATGAGATTCCACTGGCTATAATCCAATATCTCCTGTTTTTGATATTGAATAATCAATTTAATAATCAAATTCAATCCCTTTCCCAGGCCAAGTCCCATGTAAGACTGAGAAAATATACGGAATTAGGGGTGCAACTAACAAGTATTTTCATTGTTGATTAATCTGTCGATAATTTTCTGAATTAGTTGTTTGGTCTTTAAAATGTCAGAGAATGGTAAAAAATGTTGATCACTCTTTCACAAAATAGTTTACTCAGCAGCCAATAGAGCCCCATTGTGAATCTGGAAATGTCCCCCAAAGTACCCCAAAGTTTTATGTTAGAAATTTAAAGTATAAGTCCCTAGCATATAGAAACTGCCAGATGCTAACTTGTATATGTTGGGCAATTAATATAGTTAGCATTATTAGCAACAAATAGCAAAATTGCTTATATGGACAATATTTTAGCAACTGCTTGGTCGAAATCCTAAGAGAGGGCTCTTGAACATCTTGGCCAAAGCATGTCTAGTGCACCAAAGAGAGCTTTTATTAAATCTTCTGGATGTTCAGAGAACCCAATGATACTAGTTGGCTGAGATGGTATGCGAAAGGATTCCACTGGGAGTAGTAGTAAAAGTGGAAATCCAGAGGACCACAGAATGTAGGCAGAGTAATCACTCGACAGAATTCACAGGGACAAAAAAATTCTACATGCACACAGTAAAAGACCTCAACTTTGGTGTAATAGAAATATGGGACTCCAGCGTAGGTGGCCCAAGCAGGGGTGGAGTTGAGAACAGGGAGGAAGTGAAGAGAGGACGAATCAGAGCTGCATGCACAGTCTTGGATACACCACAGAGTCCTGGTTGGAGCAGTGACAAGGGAAAGAGCCGGTCTGGGAACCTTTCCAACTGCCCAGTACAAGGCCAAGGGGAAGGAGAGCCACAGGCTTGTCCAGGAGGAAGTAAGGACATCAGTGGAGTAGAAGAGGTCCAGCAGAGCGGTCAGCATGAGGCAGCAGGGGGCCAAGACAAAGTAGGAGCAGACTGACGTGTCACATGGATTGATCTCTGGCAAGCTGTGCCTCAGCACATCAAGTTCTTGATTCATGCAGTGTACAAAGTCTTGCCTAGTCCATTTTGCCTAGCTCTTTCACTGGGGAAAAGCAGAATCCCCGGATTGCTTGCAATGCTCAGGCAAAGGGACATTAGAGCACATCCTCAGCTGCTGCCGAAAGACTCTTAGGCAGGACCAGTACACCTGGCTTCAAAAGCAGGTTCTGAAACCCACTGCAGAAACCATCAGCATGGGAATCAGCAACGGCAGACAAGCACGCCCCACCACCCAGTCAAATATTGTAAAGGCTGGAGAGTCCATCAGGAATCCTGGCGATAGCACAGGACTGGGAGCTTTGAGTTTCCAACACATCCCCCCAACCACCTTGAGGTCATCATCCTGGTCTCAGAGGCAACAAAGAACATCGTTATCATGGAGCTGACCATGCCGTAGACTGTCTGAAACAGGGCTGGAAGGCAAGGTATATGCCCATGGGGGTTGGCTGCAGAGGTTTTGCAAGGCAATCACTCTACAAAGCCTGTATAGAACAGGGCATCAGAGGAAAGGAGAGGACAAGAGCCATCAAGAACATCACAGTGGCAGCAGAGAAAGCCTTGAGATGTCTCTGGATTAGGAAATGAGGTTCATGGGAAGGAGCAAATGCCACCTAGTTGTGGTCTGATCCACCATGGCTGGGTCACCTGGGCGAGTGTGTCTGATGTTGAAAGACCCAGGTTACATCACTTATGATGTGTTCAGAAGCATGTATTTTATCAGTCAAATTAGTGCAAGAGGGAAATGGCATAAGAGAAATGATAACAGCAAACTGCACATGAAAAGGTTCTGAATGTTCCTAAGTGGGAGATCCACGTTGAACACAGTTGGTAAGTGTTCAAGTTACTTTCCAAGGCTCCAGAATGAGGAGAAAAAAGTGTTCCAAAAAAGTGCATGCTTAGTGTCACTTGGGCATCTTCTGTACTTATTGTGTCTATTGTCCTCCAAGGAGGCTGCTGCCGACAGGATGGCAGCTGGCTCTATGTGGTGGTTGCAGCTCTGTAAGTGTATGCTAGTTTTAGCTTGTGCATGGAGGCTACAGCCAGCCAGTTGATAGCTTCCTTTGTGCTGCAACCATCGGCCCAATAATGAAAGTCTGCTGCCACGTGGGCCTCTCATCTCCCGCCCGCGTCTTAATCCTTAACTGAGGCTGCACCCAGTGTATTGGTTGTTGTCCTTGTGCAATAGGCTCAATCTGTGCCCTGACAAGTTGGAGTCAGTAGAAGAAGGGCTTGGGCTGTTCCCACTTTGCAAATCGCATCGCATCTACGGGTGACAAGAGAAGCTTGGAACGGCGCTCCCGTCAACAGATGACAATAAGCTTCCACAAATTAGACAATCTGGCGAGTTGCCTAGTAATGCTCTGCCTGCCATTTTGTTGTCTGCAACACAGATCACTCTTGAACCGACAAAGAACTTATCAAAATTGGCCCACCCGGAGTTGAAATATGGCCACTTCCAGGTTAAATGGAAATTTAAATAAAAATGTTGTATTTTGAAAATGTCAGAAATGGATTCAGCATCCCTAATAACACCCAAAACCACTCCAATATTGTCCAAATCGGCCAAGCGGCTGATGCTAATTATGCTAATTGCACTTATTGCCCAACATATACAAGTTAGCGTACGGCAGTTTCTATATGCTCGGGATCCATACTTTACATTTTCAACATATAACTTTGGTGTCCTCAACATTTACAGGTTCATGTTTCTGGTAAACCCAAGGTCAGGTCCTCAAATGGCCTGTTTTGTCATCAACCCAAAGCTATTCAGTTCACTGCCATGAACCAGAAAATATTCACATTTGAAAAGCTGAAATCAGAATCATTTCTTCTAAAAAATTACTCAAATATAATGAATTAATTAATTATCAGAATAGTTGGCAATTAATCTAATAGTTGAAAACGAATTCATTAATCAACTAATTTTTCCATGTCTGCATCAAATAATAAAATATGTCCCCTGAGTACAAGAAAAATTATACGGTCTTAAAAATATATGACAATTAATCATATTAAATTCAATCAAATCATGTAACTATAAAATGTTAAGCATACACATGTTCACTAATTCAACTTACAGTTTTAGAGGCAGTAAAAATATACTGGATGACCATTTCTCTCTTTGTGTTGAGGTCCTTGTCTCTCAAAGGAGTCTTTTTTTCCTCACTCAAGTTCATGTCCTCCTGAAAAAAAAAAAAGAGATTTAGTTATTAATTTGTCATTGTGGCCAAAACAAGACAGTTTTAGTTAGCCACAAAAGATTGTGTTCTAAAATCTTCATTCACATCTTTACCTCTTAGTCACTGTGGCTGCCTTTGCATCAGATGTAAGTTTCATATGTCAAGCTACAATATTGTTTTTCTAAGGAAACTTTGATGATATTGTAAAATGACAAAAATAACATACCATCATCTTTTCAAACAGAGCCAAGATCTCTTTTTCTGAGGTGATCTTTGATGAAAGCTCCTCAAACTGATGTGAGGTGGATGATGAAGAAATGGACCAATCATTAGTATTGTGTTTAGAATGTGATAAGGGTGGCCGCTCCTTTTTACTACCCGGAATCCGAATACTGGCGAATCTGTCCAGCTGTGCAGGCAACAGAGAAATCACAATTAAAATAGGTTAAAGTATAGAATTTGCAGTGCCAAGTTGAGATACATAAAAGATAGGTTAGATTATAAACACATTCAAATGGTTATTACACAAAACAATAAGCCTATAAATGAGTTAGAAAAAAGATGTTATTAGTGTAAATAGTGTGGACAAAGCACACATTTGCTCTAAATATCACATAGTCATACTCAACAAAGACATTAGTTAGTGAGAAAAGCAGTATGTGCCCTGTGATGAGAATTAATCCAACGTCTTGCAATGAAGACCAATTTCATTCCAACTCAAAACAAGCAGAGCAGATGACTTTTAGTAAAGAAAGGTTAGATGCTGCAGATATTGAAAACCAAGAGAAGAGAAAGCACACCAATTTCTCAAGTCTTACCACATCATCTGTGATGTTTCTAAAGGGTAAGTGCTATAGGTGGGGAACAAAAAACAAATCAGGATACAAAAAGCAACTGCACCAAATATTATTAAAAGAGATCTGCCCTACAGCAACCTAAAGCAAATTATTGTGATACTATTCATGAACAGATATCTTTGATTGCTAAGCCTGCATTAGAGAAATTTAAAAAATTTAAAAGATTTGTGGTCATTTCTTGCAGCACTAGGAGAGAAAGATACAGAGTAGTCTGAAAGGACAAGGACAGTGAAATGTTGCTGTTGTTTTGTCTCTATTAAACACAACTTTAAATGTGTAAACCCAAGTGTCATGTTACTCGACATCAACGACACTAGTCATTTAAACAAAATGTGTTGCCTAAAAAGTGCTTCTCTAACAAGCCCTCTCTGCAAATTATAAAGAATCCACTCGTGCAGTGGAAAAGGAGATCAGTTGTTGGCCTGTTGTTATCTGTGCTTACCAGCTACCTCAGTGCCTGCCGAGCAAGTTTTGTCTGCTGAAGATTTCTTGGGAAGTTGCCATGTACTTGTGTGACAGAGTCAAAAATGCCCTAGGAATTATCATTGTGAGGAATAAAATGTCAACACATGAACAGACTACCTGAAATTTCAAAAATAACATAATGCTTAATGAAAAACTAACATAAGTTTCCCTCAAGCAACATAAAACCATACAGACCCTCAGAGAAATAAATCAATACCCACCAGTTAATTAATATAAAATTGAATAAATATGTCAGTCTGTCAATGAGCCATCCCTCTAACGAGTGCTCCAAGATTAACATAATTTTTTTGTTCAAAAAGTGCTAGAAAAGAAGCAGAGTTGACCTGAGAGAATCATAATAAAATGACCCACCATATCCCTACAGCAGGAATTCTTTTCACTGATGAGCTTGACAATTGGTCAAACTAATTGGACAGAGTTGTCCACCTTTTACCTCACATGCCCACATCTGAGGTGATATATTTGGAACACAACTAAGATAAACCCCAACAATAGTGATCTTAAATTTCAAATAGTTTTATGGATTTAGATACATGTTTCTTTTAAGAATACACTAACTTTCTGAACAGTATAAGAGCAAAATTGCAGAGATAAAAAACCTCTCAACAGTATGCCTCAACAGTTTGACTCCTACTTGTTATCCAGGTCCCTGCTATTCAGTCCTGCTAATGCAAAGTCTGGCGCAGGGACACCGTGAACAGTGTAATAAAATGCAACAGTGACTTAGTCATCCTGTTTAGGCCCTGCAGGATTAATGGTATGAAACACAAAATTGGCAATACATGAATAGACATTTAGCCAGCTCCTGTTCCTTTTCTTCAATTTCATAATTTATTGAATATGAAAGTGCACATTTTGCTGCCTGTGCCTAAGCAGCCATTTGCCCCAGCTGTTGCAGTCTTTCTCTCAAGTCTCTGCAATTATGTATGTCACTGCAGCGTGTTTGCAGACCCAGTATATGCTTTTTTCAATACGTAGGACATATTATGTAAGCTAAAACAAATACTCATTTAGTTTTGTTGTTGCATCTAAACAGCACCAAACAAGCACTGTACAAAGAAATCCACAGGTGGCTTTCCCAAGGTGAGTTAACCAGCAACAGTTTGTTTTTAGGATCTCACTATTGCAAATCCTTTGTTTTAATGAGCAAAACCGGACGGCCTGACAGCAGTAATTTGTAAATGTCAGTAAATTCATTTTAGTTTCTGCAATCACCCTGTTTATTTAATTAAACTCGGATAACATCTTTTTCAATTAACTGAGTAGTAACCCACCACTTGTACAGAAAACACTGATTTGTAAAACACTGCACAATCCTGTTGGAAATGCTTCACAGAAGTCAGGAAAAAGCAAAAATTAAAGAATCCAAAACCCAACTCAAACCAAGACAGCATACACAGATATCAGATTTTGAAAGAGTAATTCTTTAAACCTTTCATTAACAACAGTGCAAACACTTTTTATTCTATTTCATTTTAACTTCTTTAGGACCTATCACAAGGCAAACAGAATTCTACACAGGTCTCTCATCAACGAATTGTGCTGCGCCATCTTAATTACAGGTATTAAAAAAGCAAACTTTTAACAATATGCCAAGGCCTTTCAATTCATTCACTATTAGTTCGTTTTTAATGCATAAAAATGATTTTTCGTCTTATCTGTGGATTGATAATTAGTATTATTCAACAACAAAAAGAATGAATTGGCTTTGGTGAAAAAATAACTTGTCAGCCAATGTAAATCCTAATAAGATACATTTCATTAACTATTGACACTGCTCCCTTTCCCCCAACTAGGATTTCGTGTATAACCTCAGCCTCAATTTCAAATTTCAGCTCTAAATGACAGATATCCAGCTAAGAATACTAGTGTATTTTCTTTCTTCTCTTTTCTGTCTTTCAGGCTTATTTAGGTGTCCTTTTTGTTTTTTGGAACTTTTGATATGGTTTAAAATTAATAGAAGTTTCTCAATTATGATAAACTCGTTCAGTTACTCATTTGAGCACCAAAGTTCAATATTGTCCATTAACACTGAAATATGTCATATAGAAAAAAGTACCAACTTATTTTGAAGTCCTTCCTATCTGTTTTTTAACCCTATACTTAAAAAGGAAAAATAAATAAATAAATAAATCACAGAAAGTATCTCAGAAGAACATTAACATATTGCATTACAATGTCTTCTGTTCCATTTCTTTCTTAAAAAAAAAGCCACCACAGATACAGTGGCCTTTAACGGCAAATCTACTTTCTACCAATTACAGTAAATACTGTGGTATTGCACTGCCACCTATTGAAAAGACAGTTGCTGTTCACCATGATAAATATTTACAATGTTTTTCAGTCATTTGTTATAATAATAGATATATGTTGAATAGACTGACCATCTGATGAGAGAGAGGGACTAAAGGTGTCAAGACTAAGCTGTACATCACAGGTACATGTATGCATCCTTTAGAAGGAATAAGAGTAACAAGATGTTCTTTGGTTGTGTATTTCTGAAGTTCACAGAACAAAATCGTGAGGAGAGCATTTTTTAGAAATTCAAGGCTCTCTGGGAGGCATAATGTCCTCAGTGCAATTTGCTGCTTTTTGGTTAGTATATTAAAAGGAGAACCAGAACAAAAACACCTTTGTTGGCTGGGTGAAAATGTGTAGTTCAGCTTAAGCAGGGATACTTTGCTTTTTGCTCCTGAAAACAACTTTGAGAAAGTTCAGCCAAGTGTAAGTAAACAGCATGAAAAGTAATCTCAGTATTTTTTCTTAGTGAAAAAAACACTTCCTATGCTTTTCACAGTAAAATCGTGTATTGTTTTCATTTTGAAGTAGCCACAATCAAGGCCATGAGTGTGTGGAACTTGCAGTATTTCAGCGACAATTAATTAGGTTTTAAATAGGTTAGAATTTTGACGAAATAATCTCAAACAAGGTCCACTTACTAGATTTTCCCAGGGCTCATATTAGGTCATACATGGGATGTAATATATGGATTAGGATGGTCTTTGGCAAACTGTGAATCGCCTCACCTCACCTCTACTAAAATACTATTTATAAATTCCTATTATGGGGTTTTATGCATTTCTGCTGAATCTGTCAAGAGATATTAAATTAGCGGATGTTTTGTGGAAATCCATATTCCAGTCAGTCAGTCAATAAGGCACAGTCAGACACGGTCATAGGATGCACCAACTCTGTTGTCAGGGACAAAAAAAACGACAAATGGCCATCACAAGTTACCACAGATCCCAAAGTGATTCTTTCATATTGCTTAATATGGTAGTCAATCTGAATGGTTTAACGAAGGTTAACCAACCTGACTTTGCAACCCTGCTTTCAAACAGCACTGAACACTCATCTTAGTAGGTGTACAGGAGTTTCCATAAGGAATAGTAAATGTTAGAGATTTTGCCAACAGCTCATCAGTGGGAGTGGATAATCATTCCTGAGCAGACCTTTTCTACAGTTGCAGACTGGAATCTGAACGCTGGCAACAAGGAATTAACTTGGGGTCAAATGCGGTTAAGCATGCATTAAGTAGATCTGTGTCATACACAAATGTCTTGTGTGAAAGGGGTATATGTGTGTGTTGTTAATAGAAGCCTGACTTTTAGTCAGGCTTCTATAAGGTCCCCCTGAGACCCCTAAATAAGAACCCTTTGAATAATAATGTTTTGTCCAAATAGTGACTTTTTACTATATCTCCCAGAAGAACGCAGCAGATAAATACCTGGCAGACACAATGCTGGTTGGTTGTAGTAGTAAGAAGCACATGGATTAGTGTAATGGCTAAACCCTGCGCTAATTTTAGCCTTTTGATTTCCCACATGCAAAGCAAAGTCAAGGTCACTGTTCACAAATAAAATGCAAACATGTAAAGATTGCATTGTGGATGGGCTTTCTTAACTATAAGAGATTCTGTAAAGGTTGTTTTTTTTTAGCAACAGACATAACATAATGTGCAAAGTTATTACATAACACAGGCCTAACACATCTCCACCACTGTACTGCTCGAGCTGTGTTACCTAAGCAATGATCAAATAGACGGCTGGTAAAATAAGTGTTTGTAAATAGAGTAAATTCATCCAAGGTCACTTATGAATAAGTTCTTGCAGCCACTTTTTTCTTCTGGGTGTTGCACTTTCCTCTGTGTGTGTATGTGTGTGTGTGTGTGTGTGTGTGTGTGTGTGTGTGTGTGTGTGTGTGTGTGTAGTTCCAGGGTATCAGAGATAGGAGATATATCGACTGAGAGGACCACATTTGGCAACATTAAATGACCAGTAAATTCAAATATTTTATCTGTCATGCTGCAACAATAAAACAAGTGTCTCCATTTAGTCTGCCATACTTACAAACTTTGGTTTGCGTTCTCCTTCATCGTAACATGAAGTGCTGTGGTGTGAAGAGCCCTTCTTCTTTTGAGATTTGCTGTCTCGTCCGGTTGTAGATTCAAGCCGCTGACTATAGCTATCCATGTTGTTAACCTAGTGACTTCTACGCGAGGTGGTAGCTACTAGGTTAAATACGTTAACCTTGTAATGTATATAATGTGAGCACACACCCTAAAATGGTGAAGGACGAACACACGCGAAACTGTCTACATTACCATTCGTGTCTTGAATTGTCCCGACGGCTAATGCTAGTTAACTAGGTACGTGCAAATTACAGCCGACCAGTTTCCATGTCCATACCTATATTTTGCTGTCTTCACTCCCAACCGTCAAGTTAGCTAGCTAGCCAGTGTGCTAAACTATCATTCACCGATGGCTTTACTTAGCGCTAATCCAATTTATGGAGTCACGTAACCTAACTCTTTAGTTTCCGCTAACACAAGGAATACTGCATTCAACGTAAAGGTTTTCCCCATTGACAAATGTTACGCGGATATTAATTTAAAGCTATATAACCATTACAGGCAGTAGCCGGAGCGTTTCCTGGATAAATTTATGTGGCAGATTTTTTTTTGACAGACCCGCGCAATGAGGATGTCAGCTCCGCGTGTTTAATCTAACCAATAACATCCACTCAGCCACAGACATGGACTCCTCATTGGTTATATATACTGTCAATGGTAACAGCCCTCTCTGTTTACAGTTGAAAGTGCATTTGATTGGCCCTGGTGAGCTGTCAATCAGCCTTACTTCATGGCTCTCCCCCATGAGCCAGTTGTTTTATCCCTTATGACCCGCCCTACTCTGCTTCTGATTGGCTAGTATTCTTTGCCTTCATATGTATGAGAAGTGGGATTGGTTAGCAGTTTGTCTGCAGACATTCATGTCATGCTTTATACAGTCATACACGTTATATAAGTTATACAATTGCACCTTTAACAATTTAACCATATAGATTAACCCACAAGGCACATTTTATTGAATACAAAATGCCAACCATGCAAGCTGCCACAAACAAACGTTTACTTCAAAGTACAGTAATAGTAATAAAGTTATTGAGAAGTCTTCTGTAGAAGGTTTACAACAAGGCACCAAGGTATCCAACAACACTACAATATGCACCACTGTAAAGGTCAACCCACACCTAAAAAGGATTCAAATATTTTTGGGTTGTGGAAACTTTGTTTTAGTGTAGCATGTGTTTTGCAACAAAACATACATTTCCCTGAGAGGTTCAATCAATTTTCTTTGACTCATAATAGACCTACTATTATGCACAGTTTTAGTCTTTTGAAATTGCACAACACAGATGAGAAGAACATCTGTGTGTGGGTCAAGTTACCACAGCAATATCACTGACTAGTTGGCATTTTCTGTATATTTTAGAAAAATAAAATGCTTTGGCCTTCTCACCATCCTATCCTGTCACATTTCAAGGACCCAACAAGCCCTTTACTTTATTGGCTTTCATGGGAAAGCTTGGGGTGGAACATAAGTTGACGCTGCCTTTTTTAAAATCAGGTTGTTATACGGAAAATGCTTTACACTGTTGGTTTTCTGCTTTGTTTGGCAATTTAAAAGTAAGCCTAAAGCTACAGTAAAATCCCAAATACCTCGTCTGATGCAAACAGCAATGAGCTGATGTGATGCAACAAACAGAAACTCTTTTGAGATCCTTCTCACATGCTCAAAACATGATTTGCTCCCTCAAGACATACAGTATCAGAGAGTTCTCCAATTCGATGTAAAGCCAACCACTATGAAAAATTGGTGCCCTGGAAACCCATGAATATTGGCAGTGAACAATATTATATTCGTGATTGCTTTTGGTAGACGCCAGGTAAGCCATTCTATGGTTGATGTTGTTCAGCAGTTATTCGTGATTATGCGAAACTTTCCTCTTGAGGACAATACATTTATGTAACCTAATGATGGCAATAGGATAAAAAGTAGTATTAACCTTTGCACTCCCTTTGTACTTCCAGACAGCAGGGATCATACTAATCCCTTCTAAAACCTCAGCATTGGACGCAAATGCTAATTAGACATGTAACTTATTGACAGTTACAAATTTAACAAGTGGCTTGAATGATTGTTTTCTGAAAGAACATACTAGCCAAAAAAAGATGTCAGCAGCCCGTTAGCTCATGTAATTTGTTTAACTATTATGTGTCAACCATCAATCTTACAGCTTAGTTTATATGTGAATTGCTGAAAGCCAGTTCAGCATGCACATTTTGTATTGAAAAAGTATATATGTTTTTTTTTGTCAAGGAAAAACTTAAATCAAATATGAGTATTGTATGAAACCTTCAGCTATGAAAGGAAATTTAACTTTTTTTGAATTTAACCTCTTGAAATCAGGTTATATTAAAGACCTTCATTCCCTGAGTCCCTGAAAGGCTATCTGCATGACTGCCAGCACTCTGTTCACACTCTTCATTTAGACCATACACAAGCCTTATACCTTGTGCCTTGCTAATCCTCTCAGTCAGTGAGAGACCTTGCAAATCGGTCAAAGAATTGCCACAGGGATATACAATCAAAACCCAAAAAAGACCAGAGAATACAAATCAATTTCTTCTTGTATTGATATAATGACATTGATCTCTGCCACTGAAAAAAACAACCCTCATACAGAAAATTCATGTAAGGGAGTTTGAATGTTTTGGTTTTTATTTCTAATATGGTGTATAGTTGATGTTAAAAATATATCAAACTTGTAATAAATGTAATGATACAATGTTAATACTGTCTATTTCATATCTGAACAATCCTTTGAGGGAAAAAAATCTTGACTTCAGAATATTTCCATTTAGCTATAGGCTATGAGACAAGAGGGAGAGAAATAAATGTAGGCTCTGACTCAGTGAAGGACATGTTATCCATATAATGAAGCTCAGTTTCTATTGGTGGGGCTTCTGAGTAAAAACTACTTTAAAGCTTGAGAAGAACATTTCTGTGTGCATATACTGCCATCTTGAGGTTGCAATTAAAATGGTATCACTGCGACAAAATGTTTGGTTTCGTTTCTCTGATAACTAAACCATATACTATTATACAAAGTCATCTGTCCTTCACAAATTCTATACAGTGTTTTAAAAATACATTACTATTGAAATGGATGTATGATAATGCTTTCCAAAATTAAAAATAATGCAAATCACTGTTATGAACATGCAATTGTTTCCATTACCAGAACCATTATAATACATTAATAAAATATTTAAATCACATTGATTCAGTGTATACATCAATAAAATCACAATTTGGGATAGACTAGTTGTGTGCCATCAACTTCATACATATTTTGCTAAACCATTTCACCTAACTAATGAAATAATAATGTCATATTGGACCCTATGAGCTCATAAATCTCACGTCGAGGTCCATCATTTGTCCTTAAGAACAGGACATTGTTTCTGAAAAAAACTAAATACAAGCACTGTTAAGTGGCAGAAAACCTCTCAGAGACAGATATCTAAAATCTGGACACATAAATCCTTAACTATCTGTAAGGCCAAGCACCACAAGAGGTGACCCTCTAACACTCAACTCAACAGTACACATTGTTTCCTAGCCTCTGCTAGGTATTTGCTTGGACACATTTACTGTATGGTTGACTCTGAACCTCGCTCATTAAAGTATCCAGCTGTCTCCGGCATAAAATAAATACTCACTGTGCTACTTGCCAAGCACCTAACTGCCATCATGAAGACATCGAGAGAAGAGAGGAAGACAATATTTTGCTCTTAAATACTCGATTGTTCATTTACTCTGTACAGTCTAACCAGCACATTTTCCATTACAAAACAGAGGTAAAGTGACCTGCCTAAACTATTTTTTCTCACCACAATGAAATTTCTGTAACAGCTTCCCAGACCAACATGTCCACTTAGGAATGGCCTGGCTTGCTGTGACCAGTCATCATTAGGTCCCACTTGGGCTCACTATTCCAAAATGTGTGGCCTAAAATTTTGCTCCAAGAATGGATCACATTGAACTTGGTTGAAATTTATAAATTTAAGTGGTAATTAAATTCCATCTACATTTTCTTGTTCCACAACCCAAAAAAAAAAAAAAAAAAGAAAACCAGAAGAATTTGACTGAACAGCTTTGCAGACACACACAGGCTTACATATTAAGGCATGGTGAAACTCTCGGTAGACACAGAAGAATGAAGAATCATTTAAATATTATAACTGCTTACAGATTCTGCACAAATGTAATCATGTTTCCTTCTACAGTCTCCCCCAATGTATTAGTTAAGCTTCATTATTGAATCAAGACAATATGTACTGTTCATAAACACTCAGCTAAGTCCCACATTAACGTTCTGATATCGTTTTTTCAATTCATACAATTTACCCATAATTATATAGAACATGGCATATACACTACTGTTTTACTCTTGTTATTTTGATACAGGGGATTGTAGTTCAGGAATCCAAAGGGCATCAGCTTATTTCTGAAACCTGGGTAAACATTTTTGTGCACCCCAAAAACAGATGGACTTTAATCTCGTTTTGGAGCCAAATAACTTTGTGGCCAGATTTGGACTGTGGTTGGTTTATCCCTACTGAGCCCAACAACTGGGGGTGAACACCAAGACGAATTAATCGACTAGTCCTCACAATATGATGACTATTGACTATTGATGAGTTCAGAAATTCATCTAATAAGAAAAGATAATCCTCTTTCACTGGATGTCTAACAGCAATTCCCACTGAAACATCTTAACGAGAGAATAACAAAGCGGAATTTGAAATCCATTTGACCCTCGCGGCGCTCCGTACTTGTAGAGCGCGTCTCGGTCGGTGACGTAGGTTACGTAGAGTCGTTCACTACTCACATTAGCGAGCCTTATCATCGTTAGGAGGATAATATGTGTTACAGGAACAGATAGTCGTCCTTCTACTGTGCTACCTTTAAACATATTGGTGCCGTTATTTACACATCAACCGTTCGGACGAAAAATGACCGATTTGTCCGATTTCCTGACCAAAGAGGGCTGGTAGGTAGCATAGCAGCTAACGTCAGTGGGGTAACTTAGCTAACTCACTGAGGTGCCAGATTGGTGTTAGCTCCCAACACTAAGCATTAGCTACAGCGTTACATTGGAGTTTTAGGAGAGCCCGAAGTGTTACATTAGTATTACACATTAGCCCCTTTGGGTTGTGCGGATTATAGCAAAGTTATTAGTTTGTCTGAGGCGACACTCAAGGCTGGATGAATGACGCTAGCTGCGCTAGCTAATGCTCACTTAGCGTCTGTTCAGATAACGCAAACTGTTGACGCTACAGTTTGCGTTATCTGATAAGCGGTCGTAACGTTGCATTGTCCAAAGAGCGCCGACCTCAGCTAAATTCAAAAACTTCTGAAAGTGCGTCCGAGCAGCACGTAACCTTACAATATCTAGCTATCTGTAGAGCCGACTGTAACCATCCTTCGTCCACGAAACATCCTAATATGGTTTATCCCGTTCCAGTCTTGTTGTTTGGTTAATGGGATGGCCCCTACTGCAGTGTTTCAGTACTTCTCCCAGGCTAATTTCATTCAGCCCAGGTTGGAAAGAGAAATAGATGCGCCTTCTTGGTTCAGAGATATTTAACAATGCTTCTGATATTCTGGTTTTGGCACATGGTGTAATCTGAATGCTGAGGGTTTATCTCCCCATCACCGTTCCTTCGGCCTAAAACAAACCCCTTAATAATACCCAAATAATCACATCACATGGTGATACAGATTGATGTTATATTATATTAACGTTTTATTATTGTTAAAATGTGTGTGTTAAAATTGTGTTAGAGCTTTAAGACTTGTCTACCAATATATTAATGTAATGTTTTAAATGTTTTAACATTATTGTGGCCAGGCATGCACCTACTACTTGAAACCTCTGCTAACTTCATCTTCCCTCTCCACCTTCCACCTTGACTGTCATCTCATAGGTACCTCAGTGAAGAAGGCATAGCAGAGCTGAAAGGGTCTGCTGAGAAAATAACACCCAGTGACATTATTCGTATTGCACTTGATGTGAGTTAGCAAGTTTTATATCTATATTTTCCAGCGTAACACAGCAGAGCATGCAGATGCTGTATTCAACAGTGGGTTTGCTCTGTAAACTGTTGTGGGAAATGTTTATAATGTAGTGTAGTTCTTCATTGCTTTTCAGGTGTATACTGATGTACACAGCTGCCATGCACACACGAATGGAACCGACAAAACGATGGGCACACACTTTTAAACTGGGTGTTATTGTACTAACTAGTGTAATTCAACAATATTAAGAAGCATATTGCTAATTAGTTTCATTGAATGACCCACTATTGGCAGACCCTGCCCCGGTCCTAAAGATCATCTGGCACCTTCACATCTAACTATTTACTTTTTTCTCTTTGGTCAACCAGTTAAATCCAGTCCGTCGCCTAAAAGCTAACATGATATCAGAAATGAACACGAGGCCAATAATCACTTACTTTTCATGACATAGAGAGACAACATATAATGGAGACATTATAACTAGCTAATAATAATATGGTAATAACAATAAGAATGATACGTATGTACATTTAGATAGATAATTGATAAATATAGATAATTGATAACTATAGCTTATACAATACATAAACACAAGAAAGGTCATAAGTAAAGAAGAACCACAAACAGTCGTAGAGCTAGAAATGCTTTTCTGTAAGACTTTGAACAGGGTTGAAAATAAGACAAGGATAGTGCTTACCTGACCCGTAGTCGCAGACAAGTCCAGAACATACAGCAGCTGCATTTACTGCAGGAGGCTTGACCTTTAAGTTTTGGCCTGGAGTGTTACCGAAAGATCTCAGACTTCACGTTGTCTTATTACTGCATCTCTGGTTGAACCAAGATGTAGTAACTTTGGGTTTGAGCTTGTATGGCTTTCAAAACAATCAGTGAAGCCTTTTAGCTATTTCTAAAATGATATGTGAGTAGTCACTGCTTTGCTAACAAAACAGTGGTAGTCCCATTTCCTCCACCCTGTTAGAAGTCTTGATGCAGCATTTTAGAATAATAGTAATTGTTTTTTGAGACATTTATTGAGACATCAATATAAAGAAGCAATTCCTTCTTTAGGTTTGCTGGTGAAATAAAAGACCTGCCTTTAGAGATATTGTCAACTGCAGTAAAACAGGATTGTAAAAAGGATGAGTAACAGACCCGGTGTCCTAGTGCAGCCAACAGAAATATGACACATGTTTGTAGTATAGAGAAAGCTGGTCATTATGTTGGTTAGTAAAATATAAAATCCAGTAAGGTTGTCTGAAAATATACAACTGTGTTAAATGTTAGAAATAAATGAAAGCTTAATTTAATTTAGTTAGATTCTACACAATAATCATCATAAATCAAAATGACATAATATATAATGTATGGTACTGCAAAGTTTGCTTAATATTAGATTGGGCAATTATTTTTATTTTAAGGTACAGTCATTAACAATATATTAAATGCAAACTCTATTGCATTATTTTATTTCATTATGAGTTGCACATTTGTGATTTCTTTTTGATTAAGCAGTATCTCTTTTGCAGAGTGATCTTAGGCCTATTGGGAGAAAATTTCTACCGTCTGATATCAATAGTGGAAGAACTGAGAAGGTGAGTGGTGCTGAAATTTGTATACTTCCATTTCAATGCTGCATTTATGAAACCTTGTGGGAAATGATGTTGCTATGGTCACTGTTTTTTCCAGCCAAAAGTTCCAATTTTCTGCTGGAATGTAGTTCTCATGGGTGCCACTAGATGGCCCCAACACACTGACAAACAAGGATCAGAGAACTGCCTCTTCACCTGTGAAACTGAAGTTGAGCAACTGGAAAGAATTTTTTTTTTCCAAATAGTGTCAGAGGATTAAAACCTGTAATTCTGTGTGAGCTTAAGCCGTGCTCACTTCATGCTCGGAACAAGATGCACACTCATATCACCCTGGTCATACACCCTGCCTTGTACACTGTATAAGAGACAGAATGCCATCTGAGCATCTATACATTACACAACATACAGATTGTAGTATTGCTTGTATATTGCAATCACACGTTACACATTTCTTTTCGCGGAAATAAAAATCATTGTTTGAGAGCATAGAAGGTAAGCAAAGAAGTAGTTTGGAGGAATAAGTAAACCCAGCCTGATACTGGTACACTGAATGGAAAGAGTTCTTGTTTAACCATCGGTAAATACTTGCTTGTATTTCACTGTTGCTGTCCTCCCCCACATGCTGCTGATTTACCCTTTAAGCCATAATTCTTTTGTTGTCTCTTGCACATGGCCAGTTGGACGGCCCATGTGTTCTCCAGCTGCAGAAGGTGAGGAACGTCTCAGCTCCTAAAGACCATGAGGAGTCCCAGGGCGCGCCACGAATGCTGCGGCTACAAATGACAGATGGACATACCACCTGTGTTGGATTGGAGTTTAAACACCTGTCTAAGATCAGGTACCTATAGTTGCTATGCTACAGTTTGGTTGTATTTTAGTAATAAAATTAGGTTTATTGCAAATGGGAAGTAAATGTCACTGTGTACTGCTGGTAAAAATACCATAAATTGTCTTGGTTTAAAAATAAATTATAGTAAAAAATGTGAAACAGGTTGTCATTACGACCTCATATATTCAAAGCAAATGAGTACGATTCTGTACGCACCGTTCTCCTTCACCTCTTTGTCAACACTCTCACCCCACCAAATGCCTTGATTTTCCCTTTATCTGTAATTTCCGCATGGTGGCAGCTATCTAACAATTCCCAGCCTTAATTACATTTCCATCCCAGCAACGGTGGCCTTGGTGACTGCTGCCATGGTGACTAGCCAGTCTGTACAGGTGGAGTGGCCAGAATGTGGGCCTTGACTTCCTGATGGGAAGAGAGGAGAGAACAGAACAAATCCCCTCTTTATGAGCGGCACACACACACTGGCTACCAACAGCGGTGGTTAGTGTTTCTTATGAAAGTGTCCGCTTTAGCGTGCGTGAGGCCATAAGTGAGTGGAAGAAGGATGAGATGGATTACAGGACTTTTCAGTGTGTGATACAGGGACATAGAAGGATGACAACGTTAGGCAGCAACATTGATCACAGGGTAAATAGTGTATTTGTAGGATTGTGTGTATGTGATTGAATCAAGGATAGAGAATGCCTCGATTCTGCATATCATGAGAACAGCATCTATCCCAGAGGTTTGGAGTAAAATCCCTAATTGTTGCCTTGGCATCCGGCATCAGTAGCTGGAAATCCCTCTAAGTCCCTGTGCTTTCTTAATGAGAGAGGCAGAGGCCTTATCAGGCTTGATGAGATAGAGGGACTTTTAATTTACCATGAGGATGGGTGAGCAGCTGGGATTATTAATAGTCTCTCCTAGCCTCGCCACCCATCCCCTGGCACTGCTCCATGTCATTTATAAAGTGGTATGGGTAAGGCAATAGGTTGTGGGGCTTGGGATGTGCAGTTCTAGTATCTTAAACCTTTGAATGTGTTAAACATTTAACAGTCGATTAAACAATGTATATAAAGCATCCTTCTTTACATACATTTTTCTTTTTTGTTGTTGTTTCTGTTTTTCAGTCTTAATACACCGCCTGGAACAAAGGTAAAGCTGCTTGGTACAGTCCAGGTTAAGAATGGTCTTTTGCTGCTTGATGACTCAAAAATCTCTGTCCTTGGAGGAGAGGTTGATCACATGGTGGAGAAATGGGAACTACAAAGGGTGAGGGCCAATTGTGCAATGATGGCTCAGCTACTTTTGCTGAAAAATATGTAACTCATATGTTGGTAATTATTTAAAATCTGCATTCTGCCATTACTCTTTGCATTTTTTTTTGTAGTTTTTAAGAATGATCTCCCTTTACCATTCAACCTGCAGAGTCTGGCCAAACACAGCAGGAGTAACATTGGTGCAGAAGGTGGACCTCCTCCCTTTGTGCCATTTGGTCAGGTGAGGATAATAATAATAATTATAGTAGTGTACTTCAAAATAAAGTTACACAGTGCTTTAAACACCAGGAAAAAAAAAAAAAACTTGAAACAGGAATATAAAATGGCAAACTAACAAAAATAACGAAATCAGGAAAATGCAGTGGTATAACAAACAAGATTTCAGTAGTGATTTAATACATACTTATAAGTCAGAGGTACTGTTGAATAACAATAACCTCACAAATGTAAGACCCAGGCCTGGCTCCACGAGTGGGCCTTGATGTCCCTTTTTTAGCAATATTCTCTCTGATCTTTTTGAACCACTTGTGAGGGTCTTCATGAATCTTTAAAACACTTGCCTGAATTTTAATTCTGCTTTGTTGTCCTACCACACATATTGTAAACAGTGCAATGACAGTTTTCTCCTTCCAAAAATATACGTGGTGTAAGTGTGCAGTGTAGTAATTGGTAGAAAAGGGGAGTTTAAATGTTTCAAACGCGATAAGCAAGCGTCTTCAAGTAAAACCCAAACTATCTGCACAACTAGGTACCACCATGAGTAATTAGGATAATGAGCCCTATCACAAGCATGATGTTAGAGCACAAAGTGCAAAAGGACTTGGTGAGGTGGAATATAGATCGGAGGGTGTGGTTATTAATAGATTTCACTCTCAGCCAGACCACACTGGTCTCATTACTCTTAAACGGTGTCAGTCACAGTGACCCATGACAACAAGAGCTCAACAAATAAAGAAAGGACTTCTCCTGAAAATCATACTATTGTCTAATTGGTGCAAAGCAGCACATTCTGAATACAGCGCCACAAATCTGCAACCAAAGGCAGCTGCTGTGGGTTTTCTGACAGATAACTTGTACAATCATGACTGAAACAAATAATTCAAAAATTGTTTGGTGTAGACAAGCAGGATTAATGATCTGCAGTAATCCGATGTCTCTCACAGACAGAATACCGAGTCATAATGGGCCTATCATTCTACCCACTTTCCTTCTCTTCAGATAATTAAGCTCTGGCTTTATAATCGGCCCTACCAATGCAACACAAAGTTGCTTAACCTACTCATAAGTAAAGGCCAAGTCAGTGATTTCTCTGACTGAATCATCACTTCTTACAGTCATGAAACAGCTGCATTCCTCCCAAAGCACCAATCTGGGATGCTTTTGGTTGCTACCACAAAAACTTCGAGAGTAACTTAAACACTGCATGTGACTTCATTATAGTTCTAATGTTAATTCCACAAAATGCATTCATTATTTTCCGTAAGGACCTGTACGTTACCAAGGAGGATCTTTGAGAACATGTTCATACTCACTTACACACTATTTGTCCTTTGTAGAAGTGTGCAAGGAAAGATGAAGTAGACAGCAGAGACCTAGACCAGAGGAAGACCCTCCAGACTCACAACGTGGTCAAAAGTCCGGATGAGAATGATGAGTTTGAAAAGCAGCGCATAGCAGCTATTGCTGAGGTGGCCAAGACCAAAGAGGTATGTATTTATTAACTTTGTCTCACAATATATTGTGTATGATAGACTCAATCTGTTATACTACATAATTATTATAATATCCTGGATAGACTTATAATTTTCCACCTGCCACCTTATTTTGCTGTCATCGAGTATTTCTTTTGGGCTCCATTTAAAAATACACGCCCCTTATTGACATTCATCTTAGCCTTGATTGCAAGTAGAATCTTCAAATTAAAAATCATAACTATATTGTCAACTACAAAGTTCTGTTTCATGTATTGGCCTTATTATTTTGTCCAACCCTGCAGCTCTATTGATCTTCATGTTCTATTACTTGTTAGGGTCCGCGAACGTTCGGTGGTGGAGGGAATGCAGGCAGTAATTTATCCAGTGCTGCTTCCTCTTCCCGGGGCCGAGACTCATACCAACAAAGGAGACGAGAAGACCGGGTCGAAAGAACTGACAGCAGACAAGATGGAAACTATCGAGAGCTGGTGAGAAGACAAACTTGGTCCAAACCGGGTCTGTTTTAATATAAGTTGGTTATGAAATCCACCTGTGTAGCAATGATTTGGCCTCGCATTACTGAAGCATCCATTCACTGTAAGAAAAGCAATTTAAAGGTTGGAACTTGTTCTGCTTTCTTCTTTGGTTTCTTTGGTCTTGTCTTATTTCATGGCTCAAAGACCGGATGAGGCACTGATTATAATATTGTGGAAATCTAAATGAATTGGATACTATGTCACATTTTCCAATCAAGTGGTCCATTTGTCTAGCTTTGTGTTGTGAGTCCCCAGTTTTTTAAGCAGAATTCAGTCAGCTTTGGCCTGAACATTTAAATGGGATGGAAAAGGATATTATAGTGTTTGGATTAAGAATGTGTTTGATTGTTTGGAAATTGAATTCCACTAATCCAACCTAAAACAAAGCTCAAAGTGATACCCATATCTGGTCCACTTAAAAGGAGGGGATGGTCTTTGTGTTCTTCTTCTTTTTTTTCTTTCTCTTATGTTCATCCAATTAGTCTTTCTCAGTTAAATCGAACGTTACCTCTGTGTCTAATATTACGAAACACCTATTATCCATCCACATGTCTTTACCACCTCTCCCTGTACATTTTATACATTCTTTGTATAATCTTCCCTTTGTTCCTTCTTTCATTATGTCCTGTGTGTAGGTGGATGAGCGTGCTCTACGAGACATCATGGAGATGGGCTTTAACAGAGAGGCTGCTCGGCAGGCTCTAATGGATAATAACAACAACCTTGAAGTGGCTTTAAACTGCCTACTGACTGGATCTTCTGGTAGCAGACCTGGGCCGGTGGTAGCTGAATGTAACAAGCCCCCACCCAGAGGTTCATACACACACACACACACACACACACACACACACACACACACACACACACACACACACACATACATAAACATATGCCTGCTGCCAACTTTGGCTTGAAAAAATGCCACATAGCCTGAAACACTTCTTGTTTCAACAGAGCAAGAGTGAGATTGGGAGAGTGATGTGGAGGGCCTATGAATGCATTGAAAAGCACCTACAGCCTAGTTAAAGGTCCACAGTGGCAGTTTTGCTTGTTTTAGTCCATTTAACACAAATTGCATACACACTTTACTTCCAACTATTTTCCCAAACACACCTTAAGGTGTCAGATGGATGTTCTATTTTACCTGCAGTCATTGTTTTGTATTTGTTTCAGTGCTGAAAATCAACTTGCAGCAACTTGGAACTTGTTCCATCACATTGAACTGCCTGCTGCTTTTTTGTTGTTTTTTTCCCCTTTCCATAAGCTTGTACAACCAATGTGAGAAGTGACTGTTTTTAAAGGGGTTTATTGCTGTTTTATACATGGATCCTTTGTGACATTAACCTTTTCAGATTCTTGTAATCTTTAAGCAGTCTGTATATGTCCCTATATTACTCCTCATACTGAGCAAAAGTAAAATACCTGATTGAGTTGTGTTCAGCATGACACACACACACACACACACACACTCCCAGACACTCCCAGACACAGAGAGATTTGTTACACCTACTTTAGACACCCAGGGCTAGAAGGTGTACACATACAAACATCCAGTTTTATTGATCAGACTGTTTAAAATTGGATCTACATACTCTCATTTTTGGGGTTTTTCTCAGCCAGGGGAAGAGGAAGAGGCAGGTCCAGAAATGAAGATGAGGAGGAGGGAGCAGGGGGAAGGCCATCTGGACCAAGCACTCTGTTTGACTTTCTGGAATCCAAGATGGGAGTTTTTTCCATTGATGGTGGGTACATCTCTTAAGATCCATAATCATAATGCTTTTAAACTTTTACTTGATTTAGTTTATGATGAAACACATTTTATGGTTTTAAATATGGGTTTGTATACCAGTTATTTGGTAAGAATGTACTAATTAATTATAGTACCATGTAACATTGACAGAGTAATGATTGGATTCAGACAGATGGCTTTTGTAAGCTGAGGGTAATCAGACATGTCCTCTAAATGCCTGAAATCAGTGCTGGTGTACAGAAATTCAGCACTGGGCTATACTTAAAAGTGGGCATGATCAAACTTTTTATATGCTATATATTTTGATATTTGATTGTGTTTGACCAATGATGATATGGTTTTTGTGCTTCTATAATTATCATTTATTTACTATTGTTCCCTTTGTGCTTTTGATGAGGGTTTTTAGCAGTCATTAATTTTCTGATTTCATCGCTCTTTTTTGTTTTCTTTTCTCAGAGTCTAAGAACCAGGCACCACAGAGACATCATGAGAGTAAAGGGAATTTCTCCAACTCCGACTATTACTCCAAAGACACATCTCAGACAAAGTTCTCCTCGCATAATGAGCATAGGCAACAAAGGAATGACAGACCACCTCGGTTTCACAGGGACACTGATTTTCCCAAACCCGGCCAGGAGCCTCTCTCTAACTGTACCACCCCCCAAACATCAGCTCAAGCCCAGCAGTGGAAGGGACAGGAGAGATGGTCACGAGGCACATCAGACAGACTGCAAAATGACAGGAGAGAGATGCGGGATGAGCAGATTTTTCCTTCATCCTTCACGACTACTTTTACACGTTCGAAAGAACCTCAGCAGCAGATGGAGTTTGGTGGATCCTACCACCAACGATCCAGAAATGGCGATGGTGGTGGGAACATGACTGGACCATCTCACAGGAGAGGGGGGAAAGACACTGCGCCCACATCCAAACAGACCAATTTCGCAGGCAGTGAGGTAGATGGAAGAGGAAGTAATAAACGCACAGACAGAACTGAAGAGCCTAACAACAGCAGGAGGATGGGAAAGGCTGACCGGCCACACTCCGACCACCTTGACCGACAAAGGGATAGCGGGCCACCAAACTTTAACTTGAGGGGAGGAAGCTCGGGGCCGTCCCAAGAAGCAGGGTTATCACGGGATTGCCAAATCATGACAGGCGATCCTTCTCATTTCCAAAATGGGGATATGGAACACAAAAGAACTGGGCCAATCAAGCCACCAACTTCCTCATTTCCTCCCAAGGAGTTGCCCCCCAAGAAAAATGCTCCTAATAACCCAGGATCTAAAAGAAGGTCAGGACAAGGCAAAGGTCAAGGTCAAGGTCAAGGTCCTCGTGGGTCAGAGAAAAGTCACATTGTGGAGCGCCCTTGGAAACCTGGAGACCAGTGCCTGGCACTGTACTGGGAGGACAGCAAGGTATGTCATTCCTGGATTGGTAACACAGTAATAGCTGATAATTGCTGAAATATGTTTACATTAAATTTAAAGTACACTGAGATAAAACCCAATTACATACATACAAATGTTCTCATAATGTGTAAACTGTCCACAATAACTACTACAAATTTGACAACTGAGACCCAAATTTGGTAAAACATTCGAATTATCTGAATTTGTTACAATGACAATTCACTGACAGGCTTTGTGGGATTCTAGAAATGTCAAATCTGTTTAGTTTTTTTTGTCTGAGATCTTGTTTGACAGTTATGTTAAATGACATCAAAGAATAATTAGTGCAATTGTGACACATTTTCTCTCAGTCACAGTGTTGACAGTGTGTTAGATTTGTTTGTCATGTTGTATTTAATTGATATAAATTTGTCTTTGCCTTGACATGTGCAAATGTTTGTATTAAAATAATTAGATTTCTATTTCGGGTGTGTGTGTGTGTGTGTGTGTGTGTGCGTGTGCGTGTGCGTGTGCGTGCGTGAAGTTCTACCATGCCAGAATAGATGCTGTGCATCCATCAGGCTCCACGGCTGTGGTTGTATTTAGTGATTATGGAAACTGCGAAGAGGTCCTGCTGCATAACATCAAACCTGTTCCTGCTGATGTGTTGGTAAGGAGAAAGACAATATATTAATAATATATCAAAATCAAAATGAAGATCAGACTTGTGTTGGTTAATACTAAGCAGAAGCAACTAATTAAAGTGTATTCAAGTGGGTGGAGAAAGTTGATGAAATGTGAATGACGTCTAATCTGATTACCCACAGTAACATCACAACCATGTCAAATGTACAATGGCAGGAGGAAGATGATGGTTACTACGACAGTTCACTAGAGTTTCGCCGTGGGGGAGATGGACAGCCTAGACGCACAAGACCAACACAGCAGTATTACCAGCCACCCAGGGCGCGAGATTGATGTGTCTGTGTTTACAGGTAAATAACTAGGACATTTTTTTTAAATGGAACATTCAATTATAACATTGCTCTTTTCATCGTGGTAAGAGTCTTGATCATTCTTATAAAGTGCCTAGATGCCATAAAAATGTAAACATGGTTCATTTTGTAACTATTTAATAATTGCCTTTTTTTTCTCCATCCATCAGCGTGCTTGTCCCTCATCCTTCCATGACAAAGATTATGTGACTTTCTGCAACAATCCACAGTGCTTCCTGAACTTTTAAGTGTCCACATCATCAGGACATACAGAACTTTTCAAAGGGCTTGGACACCATGCAAAAATAAAAATAAAAAAACTGACATGAGCACCTGTTGATTTTGTTAAGGACATATCTACTGTATATGTTGTGAAGATTTGTTTAATGGATGCATTAAAATAAACAGTTATTATAGTATGTAGTGGATTTGTTGTTTTAATGTGTTTTATTTTTATTGATAAAATGAAAAACAAAATTCTAAATCCTCAGGGCAGAAATAGAAACCTCTCAGGGGTCCTTGCTTTTATTGTCTCATGACAGTATTTATAATTAGCAGTTATTTTTACTTCAAGTCTTATAGCATACATCTCATTTCTCCTCTTAGGCATACACACTACAAGTCTATAGCAAGTAGCTCAAGCTCATTTGTTGTGTTCTGTGAAGCAAATCCAAAGGGTAAGACAATCTCTTCCCCCTGTAATAGAGACGGTTACATTGCAGAGATATCATTTTGCACAATACAAAAGGGACTGTACCTAGCTCGTCGAGCATTGCACACACACCACTGAGCTGGCTGTTTATGGACCCGGGCTGTGCAAGAGACAAGTTTTACACATCAAGAAATAATGTCCACCTTGGCTCCAATTTCACTCCTACCAACAGTGGGAAACAAATGGACAATGCACCACGGTTCAGCAGAGAGGTCACCGCACTATTCTGTATCATTGGTCCAAAGGATTTGCTTTATTTTCCAACTGAGACGCCGAGCGAGCATAGATGAATAATTAATGGCTGGTAATATGGAAACCTATCCGTTTGGGAGGAACTGAAAGTGAATCTCTTGAAAATGTTCTCGGGACTAACCGTGACACACTGGCCAGATAATCATAAATGATGGATTTTCAATCAGAAACTCATATTTTGGTAAAGGAATTAAGCCCATTTGATATTGAAAATTGTTCTCTTAGTCCTGTGAAATCTCAGGCAAGACAAATATTAGCCAGAAGCCCTGTTGACCTTTAGTCATTAGACTCAATAAATGTGTGAAGGTTGATGCTGTGGATTATAGGGTCAGTTTATTTTGTATTACTTGATAAGTGTAAACTGATTCTTATCCTCTTTTATATCAAGGAGAAAAACTCTCACAATAGTAAGACTTGATTATATTTTTCTGAATAAATATAATAGGCACTTACTGTAAAACTATTTTGGAGGGTATCAGGAAAATGTCATGATATTTATGAAGCCACAATTAACACTGATCCAGTGTAAGTGTAATTTGACATCCTGTTTTGTCCCTTTAAAGGAAAGTGAAAGACTATGAAAGCTGGCAGGACAGATTAGATTAAATCTTGTTTTTCTTGTTTATGTAACTGCACAGTTGATTCAATCTTGTTGATGCTGTGATCAGAGTAAATCTAAATCTTCAAATACTGTGCATGTTTTCTGTGACAGACCCACTGTGGTTAAATATGATCTCAATTATCCAGTATTTTACAAACAATCTGAGATTATGTTTGGATTTTACATGAAAGGATTTACACTGGGAGTGAAATCTATTGCGGAAGCAACTCTCTTTTTAATTACTGGGCTTGACTGGTTTTAGTACGGGCAGCATCAGTTTGATAGCATTTCCATGTATTGTTGGATTACGAGATCATGGCAAAATTGGTCAGTTGTTAACACTCACCGTAACAAAAAGGTTGTGGGGTCAAATTTGACAAGAATGTTCCTCCTACAGTCCAAAGAGATCTGGTGACGCTAAAATTGCCTGCAGGTGTGAATGCGAAACTTGTTCAGAGTGTATCCCACAAATACACAACCAACAAAACCGAAAGGTCATGAGTACCAAAATAATGATCAGCCTACTGAACAGCATTTCAGCATTCCAACACCTGAAAACTGTGGTTAATGGTCATATATAGACCTTTTATGCTGATAAATTAAACCAGGATGAAGTTCTGCACATTCTGCATAATTTATTTTGTACCACAAGCAGGCTTTTGGTACAATATTCAATTTGCTAAATGTACTACAAGGTATTTTTAATTTTTATGAAGCAGTCTTAATTTAATACTGATGCCTCTATATGACCCACATAAACAAACAAGACCATCAGTCAATAAGTTAAAGAACAAAGAATTGCACTGTGGAAATTTTGACCTGATAATGGGTTAGATGAAAAGTCGGGATGACCTGTGTCATCATAATTAATTTTCATGGGGCCATGAATGTCTGTACTAACTCAAAGCTACAAATGTGATCCTTATACTGGAGGAAAAGTCAGACCATCACTGATGTGAGTAGGATTAATGTTTAAAAATGATATGGCCATCCATCCAATAGTGGTTAAGATAGTTCAGTCTGAACCAAGTGGTGCACCAACGGAGAGATAAACCAACCAACTGACATCTCTAGAGCCACCCTGCTAGCCTGATTAGAAAGTTTTGTTTCTGCATTGCCTTTTCCAGGCCTCTCTGCATGCAATCTGATAACTTTCAGCAGCAGGAGGAATGCTTTTATCTCCTCGAGAGGGAACAACCTTCTTTCCCACATCAACATCCCCTCTGCTCTGCCCCTTCGTTTCCCACCTGTTTGGCTCTCCTCCTATCCCCATTCACAGCTGTTGGCCATTATCTTTCTGCTTACTTGACCCCTCACCCTCCATCTCTCCACCATGGCACCTTTGTGGCAGTGACATCTGAACCCTGTGATCCTGTTAAATGCGTCCTTTCTTGCATAATTTCTACACTGGCCTCAACAACCCAATCCTTTCTCTCGTTCTCGTAGATGGGGGAAAAGGGAGACCTGAAAGGAGGTTACATGAACGCAACTGGCCAGCGAGCGAATATCCTTGCTAGCATATTTAGTACCTGGTGAAACAGAGACGGGGTGCTGCAGGAATGAAATTTATAAGAAAGGGCTTTTGTACTGACTCTATCAGCTCCACCCATTGTACAGTCATTTAAGCCGGTTAAATTACAGGTTAATTCAAAAACTCTGCATGTGGAAAAATGTATAAACTTGTTTTCTGGCTTTTTTTCTAGTGTCCTTCAACATATGTTACACCTTGAATACATGGAAGAATAACAAGTATTAATTTTTCTACTTTAAAAGAAAAGACAATGTGATAGTTGAAATAGGCGTCTGCATTTGTGCATTTTTGCATGTCAGACCATTTCTCCTCAAAAAGTCAGATTTGAGCCCAAAACTCTGTTGATTCCAGTGCTTGGTTGCCTCATACAAAGAAGACACAAAAGGAGGAAACTGCAGCTTTAACTACTCTTAAAAAGATTAAAATTGTAGGAAATTGTCAACACAGGATATTGAATGGGTTCAAGTTTCTAGAATGGCCTGTTTGCATGGTGATTGTTATTCTCTTTGTCTTAGTTGTGGAAGGCTTAGGGTGGTTGCTTGCATGTGAATCAAACAATTTAAAGTCAAGCCACCATCTGGTAGGTGGCTACACAACTAACATACAAAACAAGTCCTTTCATGTGTATGCTTTGTTGGGATCTCTAGGCAAATACAATTTGTATTGCAAAGCATAGCATTTACTCACATGGGTGAAATTATAACAGCTGCAGCGCTGCGACACTTCCAGCCTTTGCATACAATCCACCACCCTGTTGCTGGACATAAGGAGTGTGGTGGAATAATAAAAATTTGGTTTTAGGCATGACAGACTTTGTATTTCATCATGGAAAACAGGATGTTTAGTTAAACGTTCCAATGGCACATGGTTGTTTTTTGCAGTGGTAAAAATATTAGTCGACTAGAGGTAACAATTTCTTTAAAGCTCTTGCAGTATACAGCTCATTTGATCAAGCTAACTGACACATTTCTGCAACAATACTCCACACATGCAAAAAAAAAAGAAAATTTGACCAAATCTCAAACTTCTGTGTTATTGCTTGAACTGCAGTTGAGAGGCTCAACACTTAATGAGCAAGATCGGTGCTGCTTGTCAGTGGTAATGGCTGTTTTCAGTGTGCAGCAGACCATGGCCTACCTGGGTCATTCTTCAAACATCCTGCCAACATTTGTTGCCAAGCACCCCTTGTGTTACTCATAACACATGACAAAATAATGGTCAAATGGGGCCAGTTAGCTTGACCAGAGACAGTATGGACTAAGGGTGAATGATGAATCAGCAGTTGGGTATTGATCTTTACCATTACCACATATGGGTCTACGCAGCGGAGCAAACTCGGAGTAAAGCACCTCTCAGTCACTTTTATAGACCCTGTCCAGTTGCACCTAATGGCTACACGCCACATGAAGAAGAAGAACAACCGAGTCTAGCTAGTGTGGCTGCCTTTGTTTCGTCTTGGGTTTTTTTTTTTTGGACAAGATTTGCAGTGTCATATTGAGAATTTCATTATGTAATCTGCATGTCAATGACCTTAACCTTTTTCAAAACCAAACCTACTCATATTGTGGCCAACAAGAATTTGTAGGTGTTTTCTCTTTTGCTAAAGTGGGCTGTTATAACAGAATAAAACTGTATCTGCAGGCACAAGTTGCAGCGATAGTACTTGTGTGCATCTATTCGCACAAAGGCTTCTTTAGTGCCTCTTGGGGGTCATACTTTGACCAGTGGCTCACATCCTCTGTGGCTAATGGAGCTGGTTAAGCATAGTCCTGACTGCAATGCCTCAAAAAGGACATAAAGAGCTGCCGGTCTGAGCATCTGATTGGTCTTGTTAAACAGAGTGCTAACATCAGACAAGACATGACTGACTGGTCTGTGACTGAATTTGCTGATCAAAGGCATCTGGGAGTCTGAAGCAACATTCTTTTCGTGGCAAAGAGAAATGTTTTGCAGTCTGGTGTCAGAGGTGTTTTCTTCATTAAATTTGGTTGGTGCTGCAGGGCAATGTGTTGGGAGTTAGAAATCTCGATGTGTTATTGGTCTGTCTTAAAAATTTGATATTTAATTGTTCATTTATATAAAGGAAGATTTTCTTCTATTTGTTGTATTTCTCTTTGTTGTTGCAGTATGACAATAATACATGCAAACCACACACAGAAAGTAATCATCTGTTGTTTCTACACAATGAAAGAAAAGAAAAACTAAAATATTAATTAATATTAATTTTATTTCCATAAGGTTTCCAAGGTCACCAGATCATCAAGAGTGACAATATTTATGAGCTAACAAAGTTAGGTGGGTGTATTCTACAGCCACATTCCAA